TTTTTTGGCTTTAAACGGGTTTAAAGTTTTGGAAAAAGGCCCTTTTTTTTCTTTCTTCTCGTTACTTGCCGAAGAATAGGTTGGTCCATTCTTCAGTTTTTCACCGGTATCGCAAGGTTTTCGAACTTTGGAAATTCGAATTTCGAAGAAATCGTCGCCGATTCTTTGGAAGCTCGAGGAGGAGGCGTCACGGGACGACGAATTCGGCCGGGGTTGTTCCCTCGCCAAGAATTCCACATTATCGGCCGGGTTTCTCGCGGATACAATTTCCCAACACAATTTTCTTTTCAGTCGCCCGAACGAATCTAGCCTGGGGTGGATGGTGGGTGGCAAATGGCAAAGGGGGAGGGTGAGAAAGAGAAAGAGTTAGCTTTGATGGAGGGGGAGGCAGAGCAGCGCAGCCCATATTCGTGCATTGTGGCACGTTCCATCGCGTTCTCAACTGAACTGAACTCGACTCAACAGTGGAGGACACAATGGGCGGTATGAATAAGTATAACAGACAGACACCGGTACAGACAGACACAGGTAGCTCAGGCCGCAGTATGTGAATGAGGAACCCATTTGATAACACGCCTCCACAGCCACCCAGGTCCATTGTGTCGCTTCCTATTCAGCTGCTCTATGCCCTCTTCTCCTCCTATCCCCTCTTCGCCTCCTTCTGCACCCCCACTGCCTCCGCCTCCGCCTGCTCTTCCTCACCCCTTCATCCGCTATCTTCCCCCCTCCCTCCACCACTCGTTCGTCCCGATATCGCCACGGAAATCTTATCCTATCGGCCCTCTCCGTACCTTTGTACACGCGAAAAATCATGGGGGCATCCGTTGTTCCCTCCCCTCACCGAGCTTCCGTGGTTCGCAGGTGGTTTGTCACCTCGAATATTATTCCGGATCCATCCATCGTTCTATAGTCTTAATCTCTGTCGCGTTTAAAAATCTCATACTCGCGTTTCATAACTCGCGATACGATAAAACGATCGTAGTGGAGTCGTAGTACGTATCGTATCTCGATATCCACTTTTACCCGAAAAGAGAAGAAAACTTAAATAGGATTAGAAGAAAGAAATGTTGGAAAAGATAAGTTCGTAAGAATTTATCGTTACTTTTCGATCACGAGTTCGTCGTTCTATTTTTCACGTCGATTCCTTTGAGACGGGAAATCTCACGTCGTGCTGGAATCGATTGCTGGACGTTTCGGCTTAGACGACCGGACGATCAAGTCGGTCGCCGCAAAAACTTGGCAATGCACGAATCAATCGAACTAACGCGCGAACATGGCCTGGTTATCCGTGTACGCGTGTTCACGTTTCACGGTGAAAAGCGAAACAATTTCTATGCGATTTTCGCGACGAAAGCTGCGCGGATTTGGTCGATTAACGAGGATCTAAAAAAAAGCGTCGCGTCCACTGGGGAGGGAGAAGGGTGCGCGGATGAAATCGAGAAGCCAGAGTGCGATTCTACTCGGGTCGGGTCGAATATTTGTCCAAATTGTAATATTTAAGCGAAGTGGACAGATATTTTGGGGACGTTGAAAGCGAGTTTCCCAGCCGCATTCGTCGGTTTTCGAATCGATTTTCTAGTCAATGCCGGAGCGGACCAGCAACAATGCTCCGATTTTCGGGATCTCGCTAGCATAAATAGCAAATAGCGAAGGTCCTGTAGATGTGTGGTTCCCGTGGACCAACCAACGAACTATCCCGTCGCTCTCGCTCTCCCTCTCCCTCTCTTTCTCTCTCTCTCTTTCTCTCTCTCTCTCCGGCTCGCTTTCTGTACGTGTACGTTGTACACCGAGTACCGACAACAATGAGGCAGAGACAAAGGCCAGGTACAATGCTGATGTTGAACTCGACTGATTTCGACGATTTTTGGCCTTTGCATGTGCATCGCGCGTTACTCGACAATGATTCCCGCATACGTAATCATCGCTATGGGCAGGGAAGGCTGGTACACTCGCGAGGCAGTGGCTCTCACACGCGCCCTCTTTTTCCCTCCCTTCGTTTCCCAACCCAACCCAACCCGGGGTTGTCCCGTTTCCCGTACCGTCCGTCCGTCACACAAGGGACGCACGCTTTTCAATCCTCTCCTCTAACGCCGCGCTAATCTAACAATGACACCGCGCCATTCCGCGACTCCGCGAGCCGTTTATCGGTTTAAATACCAGCACAGACCGGATGATAATAATAATTGTGTAACCGATACCCGATTTATGCCCCTGCGATCAGCCCGTGTTCCTACCCGTGACTCATCCCCCTCCCCTCCACCTACGATCCATCTAATCAACGGCAGTTAATGCCGAAAGCGGCTCGGCCTATTTAAATGTTGAGATAATTATCGCCGCTTAATATTCGACCATAGTTTCGCCGTTTACCGAGCCATTAGTTCCATTGACGGGCCGAGTTTTGCCCTTTTCAACAGAATTTACCGGGATGGGATCGAGGGTAATAATAGCGATCTTCGATCTTGCAACGATCCGTCGACTTTCACCACCCCCTTCATCCCGTTCACGCCACTCTCGAGAAACGCGAAACGCGTGATATCCGCGTATAGCCACCGACCAACTCCTTGGCAAAATTGTTGGCGAGAACGGACGAAGGAAACTCGAGTATATCCAGACGCGATACTTGTTCCGTTGTGTTGTATCTACCATTGGAGGAGGACGGGTTTGGGTTAGCACGATTCTTTCGCGAGGCTTTTTCGCGAAGGGGGGCCGATCGATTGAGCACCCCTGACCGCACCTGAATAGATACATTGTGCCGGGGCAGCCTATTGACGGCCGATTGTTCCCTCAACAATAACAACAATATCTGAATAGTCGTCGTGCACATCTCTCGCGCGCGTTGCACGCACCCACGCACGCACTCGCGCACTCGTGCTATGCGTGCGCGCACATCCCCTTGCATCGCCCTCGCCACGCTCGCGTCGCGCATCCCTTCACACGCTCCCACGTTGCGTCTCTTTACACGATCGCGCATCGCATCGTGTATACGCGCACACGTACGATCCCATACGTGTTACGATAGAGGATCTCTCGCCGTTCCGAACGGACACGGTTAAACGGTTAACGGGCCTTTGTGCGCGCGCTCACGCGTCCCATCTTGGGGATCGAGGTTGGGGTGGGATCAGTTTTAATGATCGTTCGATGATTCGTTTCGATCTCTCGAAACGATTTCTCGAATAGAAACGATCGTTATGTAGACTCTATTGCTGGTGATTTCTATTCCAAGGATTCGCTTCGTTTTTTCAAAATTCTTTACGAGAAAGAATTACGAGAATACGGTGTCTGTTTCGAGTTCGTGTTCGAGATCATTTTAAAAGTATTATAACGAAATGTTCGAATCTATCTTTAATATTACATCTCTGATCGTAATTCTTATTATATTTTTCGTGGATTCGTCGAAAGTTGCGATGCGAGGGATACATGAACGTTTTTGTAAAGGATCGAGATTGGGATTTTTTCTTTTTTCTCTTAAAGATGTACGAGATTACGTCGATTTTTCTTTTCCCTTTTTTTTTTTTTTTTTAAATTGGAACTTCCCGCGTTTCGATTCGTTTGTAAAAATTGCGAATGGGAATACGGAAGAGGTAAAGATACATGGGGAATACATACGAGATAATGAATGAAAATCGTATGCTTAACGAGCATTAGTTAAATAATTGAGCGTAACGTGGCGTCGTTATAAAATATTGTTTATTACCTGCTTATAAACAATGGTCAGTAAAGACTCTAGTGAAATAGCTTCGGTACAATTACAATAATACTCTGTGAGCGCGCATTACATTTATCGTGAAAATGTATAAGCCAATTATAATTATAGCGCACTGGTCGATTGTTCGTAATATTATAATAGGTTGCTATGTCGTTCACAACACAAAGAGATGTGCTTAATGGAATGCTTATTAATAATTCTATCTGCGAAAAAAAGAAAAAAAAAGAAATATCACGGGTAGAATTTCCAACTTATTGATTATTAATCATGTTGCGATTGACTGGAAGATAGAAAAATTCTTTGCGCTTCGTATACAGCATCGATAAGGATATTTTTTTTATAAAAATCGTACAAACCTCCGTTAAACAATCCTTTTTCCTTTTTTAAACATTCCCCCATAAATCATCCCCTATAAATTTGACGTTCTTAATATTATTACAATTAATAATTCTTTCTTGCAACGTATTGGTATCACGTGTTTCCGTACGTTTTGTAAAAGAAAAAAGAGTAAAAAAAAAAAAAAAGAAATTAGCGAGAAAAAATCGTTCGCTTCTCTTAGAATCGCTCGATGAAAAATATTCTATAACTTAAAAACGTTGAACAGTGGAATTTTCCAGCCTAGTCGATCATTATGCTTATGCATAAATTGCATAGCTGTATGATCTGCCCTGTTCAACGTGTATACTTTACCTATATTTTATTTACAAAGATACGCGATATAGATCATCGCAGCCCGTTACCGGCTATAATTCCATATAATTCGACGAGGGTTCGATTGTCAGATACACAGGTTAGGTTACACAATTGTGATTAATATTGTGAAATAAAAATTGCCACAATTGTCTAGTACGAATAAAGCGTGAAACAAAAAAAAAAAAAAAAAAAAATGAATGCGTCAGCGAAGAATAAAAATATCGCAAAAATTTTTGAACAAATCTTCAAAACCGATTATGTATCTGACAATCAATCATTCGGTCAGTAACGGCACCAACGCGCGAAAAAAATATAGAAATATAAACTTTTTTTACATTTATAGGATTCTCTTTTCGAATACGTTGATTATTTATTTGCATAGAATTTTCGCGTTTTTTTTTTGGCGCCAAAAGATCAATGCTTTTCTCTTTTTTTTTTT